AAATATAAGACTCATTTTATACCGATCATGTAATATATGTTATAATCATGTAATTTATTTAGTTTTATTAATTTTTTCAAATTAGTCAACCTGGTCTTATCTTAAGGACCAGAATTAATGTTGTTGCTTCAGATTAACTATGAAAATTGACAAGTGATTTCATCATGGGAGGTCAGGTGGCAACTTCTAAGTAATCAGCATAACGTGCTAATTCATGACGACTAAACACATGTTCTTTGAAGAATGAAATACAAAGGACGACTTAATTGGACGGAAGTGTCGCAGCAAGGCCCATCTAAAGAGAAGGAAATTTACAAGGACATGTTTATGCTGTTTGGTTGACATTTCGCATTATCCCTGTCATAAGAGGGCATCCAGGCTTGTGTTTAAGCTATCCTTATACCAGAGAATGAAAACTAACACCTATGGCCACATGATTTTTTTCGCTGGCTGCGCTGCTAGGTTTCAAACGCTCTATTCGATGGATACACAAAAGTACACACGCTGGTTTACGTGTGCGCAGAATATGGAATGCTACTTTTTTTTTTTTTTTAATATTGCTCATAGATAACAAGCTAGCTTTCCGTGGGTAATTTTTGTCTCTGCTTTTGTTTTTGGATTAAAGTGCAATTTTAATCCTGATTTTTTTTGTTTTCTGTGTAATTTTGATCATAGGTAAAATTGCACCCAAAGATTAGAGGCAAAATTATACCTTAATCTTTTGTTCTTCCTCGGAAGGGCTTCTATAGGAAATAAATAAATTTAGCTCCAGGGCCTGATTGTGTCATCACTTGCACTTTTGTTGTTTGCCCCGCGTGAGCTGTATTCTCAAGGGAAAGACAGAGCGAAGTTTTTTTTTTTTTTTTCAAAGGACCAAAACTATCGTTGTCGGATCAATTAGGAATCAACTTTAAGGTTCTGAAATTTATCTTCTTTTGACTCGGCAAATAAAGGAACCATGGGTCTGTTTGCCACCAGCAGAGATCCTCCTACGTGGACATATGAATTCACATGAGTCACGCCTGCCTAATTTTTTTTGTTAAACTATAGGTATCCTCCTATTGAAGACAATCCTATTTAATGGATCGTCTATTTTCCTCAAACACATGGGCCTAAAAGAATCTGCATTTCAATCATAAGAATCACGCATTTTTGTTTTGGGCTTCGCCCTCTTGTCGACCGGAAAAAATGGCGAGCACATGTTTGTACGTTCGAATCACAGGTTAGCAACATGTGGGTATTGAACGGAACCGAGGATGATAAAGCCACCAAAAAAAAAAAATCTCCGAATCATTGGCAGTTTGGCCCCTTCATCTTGTCAAAATATTAGTATTACGGCTCCAATATTATTAACAGTGAATACTTGTCAATAGTATTTTCATATTTTACAAGTTACTCTTCCGATTCTTAATATAAGACCTAATTATTGAGTTCATTTTGGTTCTAAATATGAGGCATATCTTTCATATTTATTAATTTTTTAAAAATTATTCCTATGAATAATCCCTCAACTATAATCAAGTAGAAGAGGGAAGGATGATATTAAGAAAAATAATTATGATATTTTTTTAAAAACATATCATATTTTTTATCATTAATTAACTTACTTAATTTTTTAATTTAATCAAATTAATTAAATAAATATTATACTAAAAATAAGAATAATACCATTTATATTATACATGGATGATTTTTGTGTGGTTGGCAGCACATATACGTCGTGTCAAACTGAGTTGTGATGTGAAATCCACTGAATTATCAGCAGATGTTGAAGAAACGGTATCCGCGGAGCACTGTTGTAATCAAGAAACCAGTGCTTGAGGAGGCAGAAATATTTGCACAGCATGAGAATCCGAATCCGAGAGGGAGAAAATATCAAAGGGGCTTGGCCTTGGTGGCGTCACGTCCAAAGAGCAAGGGAGGGGCCAGAGGGGAGATTTGAAAAAGTTAAAAGTACGATCCGAGCAGGTTTAATAAATAAAAAAAGGGAAAAGAAATAATAATTTAGAGGTCCTCATTGTGAGGAGCAGATTTTTATGGCGCGTCGTGTAGTTAGGAATAAAAGGGATATAAATATTATCCAGCTGGTTAAAGCAGAGAGAAGCGATTGGGAGGGAGAGCTTAATTATTTAAATTTTCGTAATGTGGGGAGAACTTTTATGTGTGGCATAGAAAAATAAGAGGGACGAGAGAGACAGAGAGAAGGACTGGGGGAGGCGTTACTGAGCCACAAAGCAAAGTGACTCTAAGCTGCTTCCAAGAGCCAACCTGCGTCCTCCGGGCTTCGCAGCCAAGTAGCCGCCCCCAGTTGGAGACTCTCCTGACCCCTCCTTGCCATTCCATGCCAAACTTCTCTTTGTCAAAATCACCATAATCTCACATACTCCCCTTTTTATTGCCCGTCAATTTTAACTCTTTCTTACAGGATAGGGGGGGGGGGGGGAAGAGAAGCTGCCCGTTCCAACTCTTAATATTATACAGGAGCTAATTGTTAACTCGGATATATATACTACCTTGATCAGTCTTGTTTCGTGTATTTATTATATATTTTAAAGTTATTTACTGACTAGTAAATTGATACACAACATGATGAAAAAAATTATAAACTTAAAATATTTATGTAACATATTATAAATGAAAAAACGAACGATAATTTTAATAACAAGAAATATTCTTTGCGATTTTAGTTGTGAATTTGAGCTCCAAACAAAAAAGGAAAAAAGATGTTGGGTAGGGGAAATTGTGTGCGCGAATGGGGTAATTTGGTGGGGGCAGAGGGAAACCCATTGACGCGGCTGGTATGTTGAACTGAAGAGCCCCATGTTTTGAGAAGAGGTTGGCCATTGGGGAATGCCATTCGCCACTTCACAGGATGCCACACGAAAATTGGCCCTCACCCTCCCAATACTCCCAAGGAATCTTTTACTATTTGACCCCCTCTGCCCTTTTTTTTTTCCCCCTGCGTTCCCCATCAACGTACCTGTCGCCACAAGCATTTCATTTCTAACCCCTTCTCATTTTTATTTCCCCTCTGGCCCCTTTCTCCCCATTTGACTCTCATTTTTTTATTTTTAATCAATTCTGGATCTAACCATCAATTCTTCACCTTCCTCCAACCCAACCCTTTTACTTGTTTATATTAAAACGCTCCGTCCCAAATATCTAGCCATGCACGCGGAATTCCGCGGCTGGTATTCCCATTCTTGTAATATTATGTAATTAAGGATTTTTAGTTCCGTCAAGCCATGATCATTATATTCTAACTACTGTAATCTCCTCCGGACAACGATATATGGCTCGTCTAATGATTTCCCACCGCACATTGCATTCCAAATCCAGCACGACACATACCAATTGCACTCACACGGGAAGTTTTATAATTATTTTCGGCTAAAATTAGTTATTAATTTAATCGCGCCAATTTGAGGCGACGACACACCTACGATCGGCCGCCACATTAAGACCGATCCTTTACCATACATCGAACGCTAGAGTTTATTACAGTTTCCTATCATGTTAAAACCCCCCTCCCCACAAAAAAAAAATCTGGTGCTCTAGCTATGGCGTTCCAATCCGAAAAATCCTGCGTTTGACCCCACTTCAAGCAGGCTGGGTTGAGCCAAAGTTCACCAAAATTTGCTACCTTCGCTTCTTATATTTTCCTTTGTATATACATATCATGTTTCATTTATTTTTGTTAATTTAAATACATCTTTGTAAAATATATTTTTCCTGTATAAAATAATGCTTTTGGTCATAGAAGGTGTTGACAATTAAGCAATTACTATAACGTAATTTCCCTGAATGAATTTTATTGCAATTAAAATCCATTATTAGTTTATTTTTGGACCAAACTAGTTAATTTTATTAATATGAAAAAGCATATTGCAGATAATAAGAAAACACTCAAAACAGCCCTATAGGATACAGCCTAACAAACACATGAACTCACCGGGTATGCGTATCATAAACCCAATAGACCAAGAAAACTTGCCACTTCGTGTCATAAGGTTATTAGCTTATGTCACTTCTTTCCCTTTCTCCATAAGCAAAGCATTCCACACAGTGTCCTTCGTCCTTCGGCATCCGTACCCATGACCCGAGCTTATAGTCAAAACATGCGTTGAAGAACGTATAAATATCAAGGTGAATCCTATTAGTAATAGTCACCTCGAACTTGTATATTTAGGCGCGCTTTAACTATTAGCTGGACGTGGAATTTTGATGCATTATTGTCTAAAACTGTATAAGTGGCTTTGAATGGCAACAAATTCCCCTCGCCAGACAATCAATGCTTGCATGTATTTCCTGTCACGAGGTGAATTTAGTCCCATGGTGTTGCCAATCACATTGAAGAAATTACTCACCATTGACGGCCATGCCTCCTTTCCAATCAGATACAATCAAATACAAATAATTGCGGTTTGGATAGTTTTCAGAATATGTTTTTAATTTTCAACTATACACGAGATTGTAGCGAACATCAACAAAGTTTGGTAACCATCCCTATACACAATTTTTTTTCCTCAATTTTTTCACTCTAACCACTCAAAATTCTCATGCCTCAAAATAGCGGTAGTCACGTTTGATTCAAGCAATGAGACATTTAATACAAAAAAAAAAAAGGGATGTTTTGATCAATAGCGTATTTTTCATAATTATAATTTAACAAGTTTTTTTTTTTTTTCAATTGCACTGGAAGGTGAGGGGGGAATCACTTAGAAGAGGCCAGAAGCATTGTTGTGACCCACAGCCACCTCTGCTCTCCAGGGCCTTACCGTCCCTTTCCATTGGTCCCTCTCCCCCACCCTCCCTCTTAACTCAGGCAAAGGGGAAAAAAAAAGATGTCACTCACTAAATAATGGAATCCCCGGATCGCTGCGTGGGGTCGGGTCCTCTTCTTCACCCGATACTAGTCCTCAGCTTGGTTACGTCTCTCTATCTCCCCACACGATGTATCTATAAATATTCATAGTACACCCCCTTTGTTTCCCATCACTCCATTTTCTCTGCATAGTGATCTATCGGCGCTCTCTCCTCTCTCATGTGGGCACAGTAAGGCTCCCTAACACCACACCACAAAAGCTCTTTTACTTCCTCTCTCTTTCTCTGTCGATATTTTCCATGGCGGCTTCCATCGACAACCGTCAATACGCTGGCCCTTTAAACGCCGTCGCTCATTCCTTCAACGTCCCCCCTCATTTTAACTTCCCTCCCAAGCCCGTGAGATCCGAACCCTTGCTAATGGACTTGGATTCCTCCAGCGAAGATGAGAACGACGCCGACGAGTTGAAAGACCTAATACGAAAGGCTAACACCGAAGTGGAGGCGCCCATCTTTGATCCCCGCGATGACGGAACCGCCGACTGCTGGATCGAACGCAACGCTTCCTTGGTCCGCCTCACAGGGAAACACCCCTTCAACTCGGAGCCACCCCTCACCCGCCTCATGCATCACGGCTTCATCACCCCCGTCCCACTCCACTATGTCCGCAACCACGGCGCCGTCCCTAATGCGCGCTGGGATGACTGGACCATCGAGGTTTGTGGCCTCGTGAAACGCCCCGCCCAATTCACTATGGACGAACTGGTCAACGAGTTCCCGAGCCGGGAGCTGCCGGTGACGCTGGTGTGCGCTGGGAATAGGAGGAAAGAACAAAACATGGTAAAACAGAGCATCGGTTTTAACTGGGGCGCGGCCGCGGTTTCCACTGCGGTCTGGAGAGGGGTGCCGTTAAGGTACTTGCTCAAGAGGTGCGGGATCTATAGCCGGACGAAAGGGGCATTACACGTGTGCTTCGAGGGAGCTGAGGATCTGCCGGGTGGAGGTGGGTCCAAGTACGGCACAAGCATCAAGAGAGAGATAGCCATGGATCCGGCTCGCGACATCATCATCGCATATATGCAAAACGGAGAACAATTGGCTCCGGATCACGGGTTTCCGGTGAGGATGATCATACCGGGTTTCATTGGTGGCCGCATGGTAAAGTGGCTCAAGCGTATCATTGTGACTCCACAAGAATCGGGCAACTATTACCATTACAAGGACAACAGAGTACTTCCCTCCCACGTGGATGCCGAGCTCGCCAACGCTGAAGGTAATGCGCTCTGCACTTGTACTTGTTTTCCCTGGCGGTATGTTTGCTCGCGAGGCGTCCCGCTTCCTTCGTTTGCTTAGACGAAACATTTGCTAATCCCAACTTGTTAATTATATTTGAATGACTGCAGCTTGGTGGTACAAGCCAGAGTACATAATCAACGAGCTCAACATAAACTCTGTGATAACCACGCCTTGTCACGAGGAGATCTTGCCCATAAACTCCTGGACTACTCAGATGCCGTATGTGCTGAGGGGCTATGCATATTCTGGTTAGTGTTTGTTTTTGTTTTCTTTTTTCAAAGTTCGGAGTTTAGATTCTGGGTAAGCTGAGGGTGTGAGAGGGAGTCAGGCGGCGATGTACCTATAATAATTTTGCTCCGCAAACGCGTGATAAAGATATCCATGGGGGTACTGTGCAGGGGGCGGAAGAAAAGTGACACGTGTGGAGGTGACGTTGAACGGCGGGGAAACGTGGTTAGTGGCCACGTTGGAACACCCGGAGAAGCCGAACAAGTACGGCAAATATTGGTGCTGGTGTTTCTGGTCGCTGGAGGTGGAGGTGCTGGACCTTCTCGGAGCCAAGGAAATCGCAGTGCGAGCATGGGACGAGGCCCTCAACACCCAACCTGACAAGCTCATTTGGAATGTCATGGTACGTGCTCACGCGTCTCCGTTAAATATTTCATTCCCTTTGTTTCATGGAAAAACTGTCAGTTCATCACGCGCCCCACCGGATTTATCTCACTCATAGCTTCTATTATTTGAACCCCTTGGTAAATTCAACATCAGGCCCTCAACTATTGGATCCCTTTAACTGCCTTCGCACAGGAGTTCGGCTTCTTTGTGAGGGATTTTTATTATTTCTAAATTACCACAGATTAAAAATATTTGGGGAGAGGACGTTTTTAACACTTTCGCTGTAATATCCCCTGTCACTTTCATCTTTTAATAGCTTATTGGGTGGGCCACGGCGTCATTGATGCGTGTGATTATTCCCAAATGACCATCATTAAAAAAAAATGTTAAAATTGTGCACTTTAATTGAGTGAATATATGTTAATATCAATGGCTGTACATCAACTGCATCAGCACTATGGTCAATGTTCTTAATGAGAATAATATATTGGTAAAAATAATTCTTTGAACTGTTTTTATCTCCTTGTCGTTTACTTTATTCAAATCTGAGTGCTTTGGGCTTTGGTGGTGCAGGGCATGATGAACAATTGCTGGTTCAAAGTGAAAACCAATGTGTGCAGGCCCCATAAAGGGGAGATTGGAATTGTATTTGAGCACCCGACCTTGCCGGGTAACCAATCTGGTGGGTGGATGACCAAGGAAAGACACCTTGAGCAAACGTCAGAGTCCAACCCCAGCCTCAAGAAGAGTGTCTCAACGCCCTTTATGAACACAACTTCAAACATGTACTCCATCTTTGAAGTCAAAAGGCACACTTCCCCTGACTCTGCTTGGATCATCGTTCACGGCCATGTCTATGACTGCACTCGCTTCCTCAAAGATCACCCCGGCGGCGCCGATAGCATCCTCATCAACGCCGGCACCGACTGCACCGAAGAGTTCGAAGCCATCCATTCCGACAAAGCAAAGAAAATGCTTGAGGACTACCGAATTGGTGAGCTCATGACTACCGGTTACGCCTCCCCCGACTCGTCGCCCAACACCTCCCTGCACGGCAATGGCGATATCAGCCACTTAACCCCAATCACGGAAACCCCACCATTACGCAGCGTGGCCCTCAACCCACGTGAGAAAATCCCATGCAAGCTCGTCTCCAAAACGTCCATCTCGCACGACGTGAGGCTTTTCCGTTTTTCGCTACCCTCCGAAGACCAAATCATGGGTCTGCCGGTGGGAAAGCACATATTCGTATGTGCTACCATTGAGGATAAGCTGTGCATGCGAGCTTACACTCCCACCACCAGCGTGGAGGAAGTGGGGTATTTTGATCTGGTGGTCAAGATCTACTTCAAAGGGGTGCACCCCAAGTTCCCCAACGGCGGGCTCATGTCTCAGCACTTGGACTCGCTTCCTATCGGTTCTGTGGTGGAAGTAAAGGGTCCCCTCGGCCACATAGAGTACACTGGAAGAGGTCAGTTTTTGGATCACGGGAAGCCCAAGTTTGCGAAGAGGCTAGCCATGTTGGCCGGTGGGACAGGTATCACACCCGTCTATCAGGTGGCGCAAGCCATTCTGAAGGACCCAGAGGACCGAACCGAGATGCATGTTGTGTATGCGAACCGGACGGAGGATGATATTCTGCTGAGAGAAGAGCTCGACGAGTGGGCTAAGAAGGACGAGCGGTTCAAGGTGTGGTACGTGGTGCAAGAAAGCAAGAGTGAAGGGTGGGAATATAGTGTGGGTTTCATCACGGAGGATATCCTGAGGGAGCATGCCCCCAAGGCATCAGATGACACGCTGGCATTAGCTTGCGGGCCACCACCCATGATTCAGTTTGCAGTGCAGCCGAATTTGGAGAAACTGGGGTATGACATCAGCAACAACTTGCTTGTGTTTTAGATATCGAGGGGCCACGGACGGCGTAGGGTGTATGTTGTATATGTGTGTAATTGGATCGAATAATGTTACTATTATTTTGTCCTAGATTTTTTTTCCCCATTTGAAAACAAATCTAGAAAAAGTCGTATGTGCAAAACCTTTGATGGTTTTGCTGTCCCCTTGTAGGTATATATATACCATTCACGTGTTTATATAACAATGGAAGGGCCAATTAGTTTTGCCCCGTTGGGTCCTATTAATTTGTTGAGCAATAAGTCCATACCTACGATCTAAAATCTGGCATGCATGAAAAGTCAAGCTCGCATTATTTTAACGGCGCGAGCGTGACATGGTCATTAATGGAGGCTTACAAATATCGCCTGGACACGTGGCATGAATACAAGGCCGGGGCTGGAGATTCCCCATCCTCCATCGTCGTCCATGCCTTTCTCTTATTTTAACGAGCCTGTTGCTAAGCGTATACGTTTCGCTGCAGTGGTTGATGATCAGATGAATCTAAATGATTTAGATTTGATGTTCTATTGTGAAAGTACATAAGTTAATGCTCTATACCATTAACATATCATCTCAACAGTTCATAACTGCTGCGGAAGTGCAATTAAACAGAATGCAGTAGATCGGTAGGATGAAAGTAAAGAATTTTGCATGCACTTAGAGATGGACATTGCGTAGGTGGGGGATTTTAGAATTCCAGTTCCGGAGATGTCAGCAAAATGAAGGAAAATAGTTGCAAGAACTTCTGACCAAGAAGGGCAGTATCGTAATTAGAAAAGATCACTTCTAAAATCGATGTGCCAGCAGCATGTTTTCCAAAATAGCATTAATCTTCTATACCTCACAAGCATGAGCATTGGAGTCTCTTCTAATGAATTTCTCACTAAATTACGTTCCTCTCCCCGTTTTTTCTTATGCAATGCGGAAAGTAATTAGTTTGGAAGTTTCATTTAACCGTTAAGTCAGTCAATAATGTATGTATTGGGTTTAAAGTCTTCCACCTATCCCAAGATAATTAGTTCATGATGAGTACAGTCATGATGTGTTGAAAAAGTGAAAGAGTTTGTGTGAGTGAAATTGAATTGAGAGTAATGAAACCAACCACGCCATCATCATTTTTGAATGGTTTCTTTTCCCTTTGGAGTAAAGAATCTTGACTTGTTAAATGTGTCTGTGTGTGAGGGTGTTGATGACATACACCAATTTGTGTAAAATGCACGTACTCGCACTCATATTGATACATGTCACCTAATGAGACAGGCATCCCATACCCGTAAATATACATTCTACATGTACTGTTTCATGTTTTGATATATACGATTCTCAATAATGTGATGCCTTTTTTTTCAGACTAATTAATTAGTGATGCTTCTTCTTTGAAGAATAAAGAGGCGTTTTAATGGTAAGTTGTTGTGCATAGACATTTTATTCATGTATGTAATTTGTTTCGGCATTTATCAATATGTCTTGGAATCCGTACCATGGAACCATATGCGTACTGCGGTAACTATAGTGTGCGCGCGTATATTGTATAGGCAGCTACCAAAAAGAAAAAACAAAGAAAAAGAAGGCGGTGTATATATATGAGAATAATTGAGGACGTACGGATGCACATATGATAATGCCAGGCGATCACGTGGGTGGAGATTGGAGAAAGCTCCGCGTGCATATGTGGGTATGTACATGTGTGTAGACGGGAAACACGAAGCAGTATTAAAAATGTTCGAATTTTAGATAACATGGTTCTGGTGTGGGCGAAGCAATAATGAAGGAGGGGGCAGGCATGCAAGGAAGCAGGGGGGGTTATTGGACGCATGCGTACGCCTCCTGTATATATGTACTGCCATGCCAAAGTAAGTAAATGATTTAACAATAAAATATTATATATATGAAGGAAGCAGTGGAGTCATGGGGTATACGTGCCTGTACGTAATGTGTTCCCTTAGTAATACAGATTTGTATTGTACTGGTAGGTAATTAATTTTTACGGCAACTTTTTACTACAAAGTCTAACTAATAAAGTGTAAAACGGGTGATTTGCACTTGGATGGAGTGGCAAAGTGGTCCAGTTCATAAAATATTGAAAGGTATAAGTGGGGGGGGGGGGGGTTGTGTGGCAGCTTGGTGTGGATGGTACGATGTAGAGATAACCTTGACCTTAGCAATCACAGCGGGTCAAGGCTGCCTGTTATTTCATGCTCGGAAAGGTCACTCACCTTCCTTCCTTAATTTGTCTTCACTGTCCAAGCACTGCTTCCCCACCATGCATATTATATATATATATATATATAAATATATATATATTGCTTCCTTCTGCTTTCTCCACAATGAATCTTCCTGCTCTCTCACCAAGCCAGCCTATTTACTCCATTAAACTATCACCACTCACGTCCTCTTCTTCTGCCTGATTCAGCAAGTGGTGGCCTTTCAAAATCCTGACATTAATCCACTACTCCATCACTTTCTTCCCCAGCTCCAAACCTTCATTACCCACAAACTTGATTTTTAAATGACAATTCAGTCCCCCGCAATAACTCACCATATTCTTCATTCGCATACTAAGAAACCACAAAAATAATAATGTGGAGTGCTATTCTTCTATTTTTGTCGTGTTCCGTGATATTCATGCCAGCGCCTACCTTCATACGTCAACACATGATATGCCACACGTAATATGGGCTTGTTTCGAGCCGTTTTTCCCTTTCTTTTTTAGATCATCCAGTTATTGACCCTTTGTTTAATTAGCGCCTACTTCACCAAAACTAGCAACAATTCTAATTAAATAATTCTCCATGGAAATGGACATCTAAATACCCTCAAAAAGGACAAACAAGCCTTTATTTTCTCACCCATATATATATATTTATTAATAATAAGCAGCTGTCGAGATGAGCTGACCCAATAAAAAAATTAAACGTTGAACTATGTGGGTATTATTATTTTTAATTTTCTTTTAGATTAAACGAGTTAGTTTTTTTAACTTGCATTGTGAGTCGGGTTTAAATTTTCAACCCATCGATCAAATTAAGACAAGTTAAATAATTTAACCCGTTGAACTCACTCCATCCTTTTCGGTGGTCCCTTAATAAGGGCTATATTTACGAGCTGCCCTGGAATGCTTCCATTAAAAATTCTGCTCCGGCTGGCCGTCTTAACATAAATAGGCGTGTAATAATGGATTCCACGCCGATTGGAGATGAACTCCCAGGATGTTGGGAAGAAACAGTCAAGCGAATAGAATATAGACGGCGTGTACAAAAAAAAGAAGAAAAAAGAATAGAATACAGAAGGCAAGTGGATATTTGTTTATTTTTTAGCTGTAAAGCACCAATCACGTTAATTTTAAAACGCTGTCGCCATCAAAGAAATTTGAAGACTTTATAGTAATTATTTTAATTTGTTATAACTCCTCTAGTGCTATTTATAGGGAAAAGAGAAAATACATTTTTTGATCCTATTTCTAGGGCATTGAGAGAAATTTTTTGTATGAATGTATAATTTTACTTTTTATTTATTATTGTATTGGCTTTGTCTATATAAGGTATAATATATATTAAATAGAGATAAAGTTAAAAGTTGTTGAATTTTAAATGAGAATTAATGAAATTTAATTTTTTTTCTGTCTGTGTGAAACATATTGAAAGTGACTTATAAATAGGACTAGAGTAGTATATATATATATATATATATATATAAAATATGTATATGTTTTTCAGTTCACATGGTTGTTAGGTGCTCCCAACCATTCATAGGATTGTTCCCTGAAAAGAAATGCAGGAATCTTTGGAATGAGCCGACAACCTTGTTTTCAGGTGAGGAAATAAATCAAAATATTTGGAAGGTAGTATAATTACAGAAGGGTTCGCAAGCATACTGAATTACATAGTCGGGTGAATCGTGACTTTATAATTTACCATTTTTGAAAATGTTTGCTGAACAAAATTGTTGTGGAAGCAATAATCAGCCGCTTAACGACAAGAGCACCACCCAAATTCACCAAATTTTATATAAAATTTTTTGTAAAACGTATAAATCATTTAGTTGTTGGACCGTAGCCTTCCGCTGTCTGGTAACAAGACAACAATTACTATATCCCACAAATGCAAAAAATTGGTTCAAATAGGTGTGCCGTGCGGTGCGTGTGATATGATTGGTTAAGGTATCGCGTCCCTGGGTTTCTGTTGGGCTTAGGATCCATGAGCCCACTAAAACACATGGTCGAGTTCTAAGCCCATTTAACAAACAGTGGGCGCAGTCATACAACAGAAGCCGAATTCTTAAAACACGTTACCTTGTACGGGAGAAGGGTGACTTGTGGGCCTTTCTCATGATTCACAAACGCGAATCAGGGAAGGCATGGACAGTTCACAAAAATTAGTGCACTCCCAAGAAATGCAGGCCCCGAACCCGATTATATATATGGTTGAAGTGTAATTTTGATCCCGACTTTATTTTTTGGGCGTAATTTTACTCTTAATCTCTTAGTGATAAAATTTTGCTCTGATCTATTTTGTTAGGTGCAATTTTAAACCTGATCAAAATTGTATATAAAAAATAAGATTGGGTCAAAATTGTACTTTAACCCATATATTTATCACTGTTAAGGATTAACACACATACAAGGAAATCTTTAATTAATTTAACTCTTACAATACAATAACACGTGTCAAAATGTCCTCATATCAAGGGGAGCAAATATAAATAAAATTAAAGGTAAGCGCTCTCGGGTAACAAACTTTTTTAAACCAACGGAGGCGGTAAAAAAATTATGCGGTCCGGAAAAGGCATGTCCCCAGATTAAAGTCAAATGCAAGAAGTTTGTTGAAAATTGTACGGCTTAACCTCACCGCTCCCCACTTCCCATGATTTAAGGGTGTGTTTGGATGAAACCAACCGTTGTTTGGAAAAGTGATTCTGGAGAATAGATTCTGGAAAAAATAGATTCTGTGAAGAATAGATTTGTAAAAAAGTGATTCTGATAAGTGAGAGTGTGGATAGTTGTTTCAGAAGCACTTTTTATATATACAAATTACTAAAAAAAAGACATAAGTTAATATGATATTACAAAAAATAGATTTTATGATAATATTTTAATTTGAAGAAATAAATTGTTATAATTGTTTTTACCCCATAATTAATAATAAATAAGATAATATAATTAATAAATAATTAATGTCTATATATATTATAAAATATAAGATTAATATATTTATAAAAAATATGTTTATAAAAAAAATAACAAGAT